CCATTACAGCTGTTAGTGATGAACAGAAAATATTAGGAAATATATTTATACTAAGAAATATCATGTGCATTTAACAGATCATAGTATGAATGCGTATACGAGAAGATGGATTCTGATCATAGACTCTTGGTTAAATTTCCTGTTGGTATAAATAGTTATGTTCCCAATCAAATGTATTCTTCTCTGGGTGTTGATATTTATAGTTAGATTACTGTTGTAGTAGAGTTGAAGAGATGTTTAAAAGAAACAAAAATATATGACTTGAAGAAGATGAGATTACTTTTCATTTGATTACAAATAGTGCCTCAGAATGACTTTATAAATTGTATATGATTTGTGTATTTTATTCTTTTTTTTTCTTATGATTATGTATCTAAACAGTAAAAGATAACACTTGTAATAATGACACTTAAATCTGGTAAAAAATATTTTCGGTTTGATTGTTCTTAAGCACAAAGCTACAAAAAGGATAATCTGTACTCTGCCCACCACACGTATCGAAACCCTGTTTTTAGCGTTGTAAGTCTGCAGATTTACGGTTAAGTAACTGGGGGCAACAAAATAATACCATAAGTTTTAGACCTATAAGTTTAACAAACTGGTAAACAAACGCATTTTAAATAATATTAGATAATAGATTAGGAAAATATATTGAATTGGATAATTTAATAGATCCAAATCAGTGTTCTTTTTACGAAAAATGAATAAGTATCTGATCATCTTACTAGCTTAACTGAGAGTATTTATAGTGGTTTTAAAGATGATAAAGCTAGTTACAGCTGCTGTGTTTCTGAATTTCGATAGATAACGGCGGAGTTCTGAATTATTAACTGAGTTTAATACGTATTTTAGTTTTTAAAATATATCAAAAGTTTTTAAATGATAGATGTGCTTTCTCCTCAAGCTAGTTTTAATCAGATTAATATATCTTACTTTACTGGTTTGAATTTCGCGCAAAGCTACACGAGGGCTATCTGCGCTAGCCGTCCCTAATTTAGCAGTGTAA